CCTTTTTTTTGCAAAGGTACCTATCTCGGTATTAAAAATTGAGTTTTCATTTAAAAAGTTTTAAATTATTAGTTTACTTTAATAAATTCTTAATCATTTTAAAAAGAATTCATAAATGGAAAAAGCTTTACTGAAAGGTTTGAGAGTTAAGGAAACAGAAGTCAAGAAAAAATTAAACAAATATTTTGAGGAAAAAGTTGAAGAGCTAGGAGACTCTTTGGCATTAGTATTTGAAGGTGGAAAAATTTATTTAACATGTGATTAAAATTTTAAACTGAAAAATATTATTTTGTAGATGAGAAGGGAGAAAATATTGAAATGACTTATAATGAACTAAACAAAACAGCAAACCGTATTGCAAATAAAATTCTGAAACTCTTAGAGAAAAGTTATTTTGAACCCAACAAAGATGGTGACTGGTTAATTGGCATCTGCATGAAACCTTCTATTAATTTAATTACAACTATGCTTGCTGCATGGAAAATTGGAGCTGCTTACCTTCCACTTGATTTTTCATTTTCTGATGAACGAGTCGAATACATTTTAGATGAATCTCAACCAGTATTGATCATTTACGACAATGAATTAAGCGCTCAGAGTTTTTTTCAGAAAGCAAAAAATAGATTAGAAGATCTAATGAGTTGCGGTCGAGATTATCACAATGTCGGCTACTGTCACTGTATTGTTTATGGACAATGTTTTAAATTCGACAATATTCTTGAAAGTTCAAATGATTTCAGTGAACAAAACATTGATGAAAAAAATACTTTAACAAAAGGTGATCCAAGAATTGCAATCGTTCTGTACACGACTGGAGCGTTAGGACGGCAAAAGGTGTTCGAATACGTCATTCCACTGCTTTACAGCGCCTTGAATGGTACTGGGAAGAATATCCTTTCTTTGAAAATGAATCACATTTGATATTCAAATGTCCAACAAGATTAATTGATCATGTCGGAGAGATATGGAGCACTCTTCTTGCTGGTAAAATTCTCGTGATCATTCCAGAAGAAGTTGCTGTGGATTCTGAAAAACTTGTTCCAATTCTAGAGAAGTTTGATGTTCATCGATTGATATCAATGCCTTCGTTCCTTGCACAAATATTAACATTCTTAGCTTCACTTGAAAATAACAAAACGAAAAATGAGAAAAAACTTTCAAATATTAAACTTTGGATAAGTTCAGGAGATATTTTGTCAATTAATCTTGCTAATAATTTTTTTGATTACTTCAACAATGACGGTCAACATATGCTTGCAAACTTTTATGGAACGACTGAAGTCATGGCTGATGTTTCAACATTCTTAGTAAAATCAAAAGAAGAACTTGAAAATTTTGAAAGTTTTCCAATTGGCAAGCCAAGTCACAATACAATCATTTATATTTTGAATGATAGGAAAGAGATTGTCAAAGAAGGAGAAACTGGTGAAATTTATGTAAGTGGAAATTTTGTTACCGATGGATATGTAATGGATCACACTCACAAAAGATTTACGAGAAATCCTTTTCATATGCTGCCTGTTTATTGGGATCTCTATCGAACTGGTGACTTTGGGAAGGTTCTTAATGGATTACTTTTCTTTGAAGGAAGACATGACACCCAAATTAAAGTAGAAGGCAATCGTGTTGAATTGAATGAGTTGGAAAATATTTTGAACAGTTTTATTTACGTTGAAAGATGTTTAATTCAACTTCTTAATCGAAATGAAAAAGATCAAGTCATTTTGGCATTTGTGACATTTAAAAGGTCTTATGCTCATAAGAAATCAAGTGACATTGAAGAAGATTTACGGCTGAAAATTCCAATTTACATGATGCCTCAAATCATTCTTCTCAGTCAATTTCCTTATTTTGTGAGTGGAAAAATTAATGTAAGGGAATTGATGAAGTCATTTAAACAGAAAACTTTGGCACTTTCTGAAGCATTTCAAGTCGATATGGATTTGGAAAATGTTCCATATCAAAAGTTGGAAATTGTTGAGAAAGTTTTTCAAATTATTGGATCATTTAATTGCTCAATTTTTAATTTAGATTTTCTTTTTAACCGTTATAATTTTTCTCCTGTACTACTATATCCCACACACAATTCTCTGCATCAATCAACTTCGCAAGCAAAAATTTTATGTTTCCCTCAGGGATTTTTTCGATGCTAAGGATATTGGCGAAATTATTGAGAAAATTGAATCACAGCAAGTAAGTCAAAATCATGCAAGTTTATTAGAAATACCAGCAATGGAAGATCTACACATTGAACCATTAAATCATCAACGAAGGAATGAATGTGTCAACTTACTGGCAACTGGATTATGTGAGAAAGGAATTTTAGAAAACTTTCTTGTAAGCACAGACATGGAAGAATATTCGAATTTTCTCAAATTTAATTGGGCTTTGTTTGTGGATAATGAAATAAGTTTCATGGTTCTTGATAATCAAGAGAAAATCGTTGGCATTTCACTTAATATTGATGTTGAAGAAGGTCCCGAAATTTCATCAGAGCGATCATCAATTCAAACAATTATCAAATTCATGGAATTTGTTCAAGATGACATTATGTAAGTTTTATGAAATAATTTCATAAGTTTTAATCTAATTAATGTTTATTTTGATCAGTTCTGAAAAAAATAATGGAAGAAAAGTTCTTGAAACTTTCATGATGGCGACTTCAATAAGTTTAGATGCTTTTGAAAATATTTGTATCGTTCATCTCATGGAAAATCACATTTTAACTGTTGCAAAAGAACGAAACTTTGATTCAATAATCACCACAAGCACCAATGATCTGAAAACGGAAATTTGTGAGAAACTTCTAGGATACGAACAATTGAAAGCTTTTCAACTCAATCTCTACATTGATAGTTATGGAAAAAGTCCATTTTCAAAGGCGCAAGATTCACAAAAAACAATCACAATGTGGAAGAATTTGCAAATTTAAAAAACTTGTTTTTGTTTGTTTCTCTCATAAAACTAAAATCTTTTAATTCTTTCAATAAAAATGATCAAAATCTAATGATCACAATGATAACATTTAAAAGGCAAATAAAATAAACATTCACATTTTAAATTAAAAATTATACATAAAAACATTTAATCAAAATATCTCCAACATAAATATTTTTCTGTTTTGTTTTCCTAATTTTGGCAAGTGAAAAAAAAACACACACAAACAGAGAAAGAGAATTAAGAAACAAATTTTGAATCGAAATGAAGGAGAATATTCGATTTCTTGTATGCTAAGAATAAATTTGAATGGAAAGTCATGGGGATTTAATTTCCTTTCAGATTTCAGCTATCTAGCATCTTAAAATTATATTGATGAGATTTCCATTGACATTTTAGGTGGTTTAGTGATTTAATCCGCGAATGTACATATTCACTAATTCTGTCTTGGCTTGATTCTCGAAGAGAGCAGCACGATTCTGACCTTCACCTTTCTTAACCCAGTGGCCGTAAACTCTGAAGGCGCAAGCATCGATAACCTAGTGGGTAAAAATATTTAAATAAATTTATATTCATGAAAATATTTAATTAATGACACTTACTTTTCGCAAGACCTTAACTCGGTATGGATCACGCATCGCTTCCTCAAAGTCAAGTGGTTCAGGTGTGAAGCGCAATCGTTGAATTCTTATCATAGCTCGAACACATAATATTGCAAATTGAAACTTCTTTCTAGGATTGAACTGGCTTTGACGTCGCAGCTATGATTGATTATTAGCAAAGAAGATAATTTTGTTAATTTTTTTGGGAAAAGAAACAAAAGAAAGCAAAAAATTAGTTAGACAATTGTTCTTTTATCATTTGTTGACTCACTTTAATGGAAAATCTTTTTCAATTCGTTTATTTTTCCATTGGCCATGAATCAATTTGGTAGCATTCAAAATTGCAATCGAATCTTAAGAGTTATTAAATTTTGCGTTTTGTTAAAAATAAAAATAATGTCATGGTTTAGTCACATCATAAGATTCAATTGCAAGCGATTTTGTTGTGAAAAAGTCCAATTGTAAGCAAAATGGTGTTCATATTTTTAATTTTTGGTATATAAATGATGAAAAATGAAATGAAAAAAGTTTAAAATGAAATATAAAATCAACTAACGAGAAAACAACAGTTAAAAAACAATCTTGGCACACAAGAACATTGGCATTTTCTGTGATGAGAATGATGACTGTGTGAGATAAGACGCTGTGTGTCTTGTTGATTGTTATTGACATCACGGTTCAGTACTCGAAAGCTCAGACTTCTGAACATATTAATACTCATTGACTTAAAACGACAGATTCGATTGTTGCATTCCACAGGATTAATTGTTTTATTAACTCTACTAATACGAGCTTTGTAAATGAACTTTATATCCTAAGAAAGTGAAAAGAAAATCTCAATTTTCACATGGAGAAAAACGTTTTCATTCAATTAAAATTTCAATAATAAAATGAGAAATCTTAGAAAAATAAGTTTTTGCGGAAGCTTTAATAGAAAATTAATTCAAGGTACTTGATACGAGTAACAAGGAAAAAAGATTTTTTTTCATCTTGATTTACTTTTAATAGACTGATTAGATTATTTAAGGTTGATTCATAATGACTAAATTGTTTATTAAAATCTACAAGGTTACATTAAGAACAAAGATCATATTTAATTGCAATGAAATATGCACATTACCTAATTAAAATTTCTTGGGTAGAAGAAAATGTAAAATTTTTCTTTTAGAATTGAGTTAATGTTAATATCCAAATTTACGGGCATATACCTAATATGTGCAAAGCGTTAGACATCCGACTACGATTAAAAATCACAACCAATTGATGGACACGACTAACATCTAAAGAATTTTGAATTTCTCAAAAGCAACTGATAAAATTAGAATTTGTTGTTGCTTAAAGAAATCTACGAAAATCATAAAGAAAATAGAACATTGTGCAAGAAAAAGCAGGCAATATTTTTGTAGTTAATTTTTCTTTCGATTTCTCATTTTTATGAAAACGTTTTTCCTGAAATTATACAAGAAAAAAAGAAAGAAAAGGAATAAAAGAAATTATCTACATGATTTGGGACAAAGAATTTCGATAACAATTTTTCCGTTTTCCAATTTTTCACTTTCTCACGGTTGATTATTTATAATCCATAATTATATCTTTTTTCCCTGACAAGAAAAAAAAAGTGGAATGATGAAAATTGAATGAAGATTTTAATCAAATGAAATGCGAAAGCGTGCAATCATGGATTTGTTGATATTTCAAATTTCCGACATCATCACCAAATATGTATGAACCTGAGTTTGATCAAGCAAAAACAAAACTCGTTTTACGTTAATGTTAATCATTGATAGCAGCATTCATTTTATCATTATTTGTCATATATTTTTAAATTTCAGTAGAGAATAATTTTAGAGTTATCTCGACTTTGCTTTTTGCGGGGAAAATTCTCACGATTCGACAATTCTATTTACAATTATTGCTTGCATATGTGGACGGACAATCGGATGCTTATATACCAAAAAAAAGAGAAGAACTACTAACCAATAATGCAAATCAATTCCATAATAATACTTATAATAAATTAAGTTGGGCTTTACCAATTGTCCAATTCCTTGCTCGTCATTCTGTTCTATATACGAGATAACAATATTTACTTGTTTCTTCGGTTCCTGCTTTTTAATACTCTCTGTGTCATTTATTAAATTAATACTTGTCTGTTCTGTCTCAGAACTGGTCGTCGTTGCATTATCACTAGTCTCACTATTACTACTAGTTACGTCCTTAATTTTATTCTGTTTGAAGAAAGGTTGATAAATATAAGTTTCTTGTTCGATGTTTTTTAAGTTTTTTGTTTACATGACTCAAATTCTTTATCTTTATAAGTCAAAAAAGAAGAAAAAGCAATTCTTCCACTTGAAAAACTCAACCGGAATAACCAATCTATGTAAATATTTCAAATTCCATTGAACGTGGAATATTTTGAATAAATCATGCTTAAATTTCGATACCTAACATTCCAAGAACCAATTCGATAACAACACAAATCAATTAGGTAAATGATTTTCAGACATTTTTTCAACTCTTTCAAATAAGAAAATCTTCAAAGTAAGAAGAAAAGAATGAAAAGAAAATGAAAGGAAATTAGATAGAGAAGAATTTTCCCTGACATAATTCGAATTAAATTTTCTTTTCAGAAAATAATTCTTCAATTTCAATAACAATAAAATGAAGGCGTTTTAATAAATATAAGATTGAATGTTAGTTGTTTTAAAGCAAGATTAGTTCGTTCAAAAATATTAAGAATGAAAGCAAGAAGTTAGTGTTTACTTTTTTCCGAATAACATCATTTTTAAAGACAATCTAAATAAAACAAAACTAAGAAAATTCCAACACGAAGACGATAACACAATTTTAGCTTTTTCTTCCAATTCTTCAAAAAAATTCCTAAATGCTAAATAATTACTGTGCTCACTTATTGTAAGCAAGCTTGGACATAAAAGGAAAATGTTTTATTGGTTGTTTTTTATGTTTTGTTTGATTTACCAGAGCTAAGTCTGTGATTCGGCTCATTCGTCTTGATTTCAATGATAAACTTTGCTTTAGTGGCACAATGTCTTGTTCAAAAAGCTACAATTGAAACGATAATCTTAATTTAACTTCTTTTTTCTGTTGAATTAAATAAATTTAAATAAAAGAAGTTTTTATATTCATATTTGTAAACAGATTGAAGATAGGCGAAGATAGTTTTGTGAAATGATGAAAGAAGACAAGAGGAAAACATCTTTAAAATATTTCGATTGAATTTCCATTAAAGTTCTGTCAATGTTTACTTTTAAAGAAGTTTACTTAAAGAGTCTCACAAAAGTATCATTCGCAGCTTATTGTTATCTCAAATCATCGATAATATCAATCAAAATGAAGAGTTTTGTGGAATTCATAGATTGTTTGTGGTTTTCAAAAAGAAAAACAATTATTGTTTTAATTAAACAAAAAGTTGTGTGTGATGTTTTGAAAAGATTTTTCTTTTTTGTGTCTTGAGTTTGTGGGAAACATGAAAGTTTTTAATTAATTTTTTTTCTTCTGTACAAAGTCAGTGGGGAAATGAAAAATTCGCCAACGGCAGTCAAACAAAAATAGATCGATAAAAAGAAAAATAAGCAGGTTTAAGATACTCACTACAGTGTTGAAGAATGGATGTCTGAGGCATTCGCGAACATTAATTCGCTTGTCAGGATCGACAACTAAACATCTTCGAATTAAATCCTTTGGATCCTCTGGAATATTCTCCAATGACAATCTCATACTTTCATACATTTCTTCACACTCACCTGATATGTCACTCCATTCAGGCGACATAAAACTGTATTTACCCTCCATTATATTACGCAGCATAATCATTTGCTTACGATGCCAAAATGGGGGACATCCGACAAGAAGTGTAAACATTATGACGCCACATGCCCAACTACAATTAAAGTGATAACGGAGGAAATTAAATTTGATTAAAACTTATTCACATGTTAACTTACATATCAACTTCCTTTGAGTATCCTGGTGCATCATCAAACATGTTACATTTAAGTGTTTCAGGCGCAAGATAGCCTGGCGTGCCACACAAGTCTGAAATGATGTAATTAAATCATAAATGTGTGAAATTTTTTAATACGATTAAAAAGTTGTTCTTACCATAAAGTTTTGAACCATCTGCCAAATGCCTTGCAAAACCAAAATCTGTTATCTTAACATTTAAACTGTCATCGAGCAGAATGTTTTCCGGTTTCAAGTCTCTGTGAACAATATTCCGCGAGTGAATGTAATCAACACCTTCGAATATTTGACGCATAATGAATCTTGTCTTTTTTTCGGAGAGCGTCACGACCGATGTGAGATAATCGAAAAGCTCACCGTGACGACAAAGCTCAAAGACCAGAAAAATGAAAGCGTCAGATTCAAAGACATCTTGCAGTTCGACTGTAATTTTCAATTGAATATTTTCATTTAGTATAAGCAAGAAGGAATTAAATTTCAATTTACTCACTAATGTATGGATGGCCCATGACCTGCCTCAAGATATTGATTTCCTGTCGTGTCGATTCAAGCATTTGTTGCGGGTCAGTCGTTTCAGATCCACCAATATCGATGATTTTTGCGGCATATTCTTTGCCGCTTTCTTTATCAATACACCGTCGAACAACTGACGAAATGCCACTGAAAATATTAATTAATTTTTATTAATTATTTAATTCTATAAAAGTCATTGCAGCCTTGAGACGAGCCCAGTATGAAATAACAGATAAGAATTGAGGTGATATGAGGCATTTATCGCTAAGGCGATCATGACATTGACTTGTCGCCGTCATCATGAGGTGAAAAGAAATTCTTATCAGATGATAAATAAACAAACGATTTACGCGACTTAAATTACACAGAAAAAAGAAAAAAGCATTATTGCACTTTCTTGTTTGAATTGTGCTGACCATTGGCGATTATCAATTTCATGTCGTTTTGTGAAATGAGACTAAAGCGCTTTTTTATTGGCTTATTTTGCACATTTTATCTCCTTTCATGAATACGGTGTCTACTTACTCGTATTCTTATTCATGCCTTTAATATATGACAAAACTATTTTTAAACACATTGTTGGCTTATATCGCAGATTTGGCTAAAAAAAGCATCAAATTTACGGGGGCTTAACTGCTTTATTTAATAACATTCACAATTGAATAAACATGATAATGAATGTAAGGCAAAATCTGAACGACGATTTATTGATAAGTGAGGAGGAATTTTAATTGGAGTTTCTTAATGAACCTTATTTGAACTAGTTTAAAGTTATTGATATTCAAATAATGTCACAGAAAATCTTCAGGAGTTTGTTGTTGTACCGTGCAAAACTCCGGAAAATATTTTATTAATAAATTGAAGAAAAAAAGTGGTTTAAGTAGATTTAATATGTGATTTGATAACAATCCTCAGCGATTTAACTTTATCCACTTTAAAGCGGTTCAAATCAGAGTTGATACGTGTTTTGAAGGAGCAATTCTAACACAAGGCAATCTTATAAAGAACTGACGAAATAATCAATTTTTTGTACTCACCGACCAAGCACTTCCTTTGGTTCATATTTAGCATAGAATCCTTTGGCAGCATCCTTATCAGGAAGAGTATCATCTTCTTCGTCTTTCGCCATTGACTGCTTCCTGACTACAGAACTTTTGCGAGAAATGATTAAAATTTTATTTTACCGTGTCGCAAAGAATCTGATTGCTTTTTTTCCGAATCGGTCAAGTTGGAAGGTCAAATAATTTTAAGTAACTGTTTGATTATTTAAGATAAAAATGACAACTGATTCACAATAACATTAAGCTTATGTATTTAAGTATTCTTAATTTAGACGATAACTCAATTCTACACAGATTCTAATTTTTTTTAACAGTTTAGAAAGTTTCTTATTTTTTCGTCGCAGCGATTGGGCGAATTGTTGTCAGTGATGTTTGTTTATAGGCTTTTTAAAAGGATTTTTTTTGCGAATGTGACTTGAGTGATAAATTTTAAAAATTTGAAGCAACGGTTTAAATTTAAAATTATTTTTAAACTGTTTCCATGCTTTCATAAATTAGGGGAAAGGAGGAGTTATTAGTGTAACTAAACCGCTTTTCAACTGGCTTATACATACCCACAACTCCTACGGTTTTAGTTCCACCCATAACTTCTTTTAACCTATTTTAATATTTCAGACAATCAATTAACTTAAACGTCAATTATTGTAAATTAGGTTTTGACGACATAAAAATTATGTTAATGACTGAATTTTACTTAAAATAAAATAAGTAAAAGATGTTAAATGTCTTGAATATTTTTATGATTCAGGAAAGATCTTTCATAGCAAATTTTTCCCTCCAAATTGACCGGTGAAGAATCTAAAAATGTTAAAATTTTCTTACTATCTTGCAGCTTCCATGCATAAAACTTCATATTCTTCGTCGATATCTTCTTTCTCAATTGTAATATTTTGAATGTCAACTGTTGGTACGATTATTTCGTTTTGTGCTTCCCTTACATCGTCTGCAGATATTTCTTGATTATCGTTAGATTCTTCGACATTGTTTGACAAGTCGTGTAAGTCACTTAGGAACGTCATTTTAGTATTCGATGATTTGCTGATTTATTAAAAATTGAGCTAAAAAATTAAAAGCACCTCACTAATATCATTGATTTTTAAAAACTTGTAAGACTTTGTACGAGAAAAGCTTGAGAGAAAAAATGTTTTTCGAGACAGATGTTTATCTGACCAAAACCTCTTCAAGAATGATGTATTGTTAGATTATCGAGAAACCTTTTAAGCTCTTCCAAAATTTTCCATTCGAAAACAATCCTTTTAGAAGTTTAGGTAGAAAAAATATTTGCATTCTTTTGTAATTATCTTTTAAGTAACTTTACATAAGGCAGAAATCTTATAGGAAACTTTCGACAGGTCATTTTCTTATTAATTATCTCAGTTGAAAATTTTCCATTCATTACCCTGGTAGTTTATGATGCTATAAATGCGAATACACATGACACGTTTTTTTAATTATTTTTTCTTGATTTTTTTTTAAAGTTCTAGAAAATTCCTTAACACATTTTTGAAATGCTTCATGCTTCTTAATTTTTATTTACAAATTTTTAAGTATAAATTTATTAAATACAAACTTGACTACAATTTTATGTTTGCATTAAGTGATGCATTTAATGATTCTTTTTCATGTTTCTCCTGTGGGTATTCTTTATAATACTTGTTCACATTGTAGTCATAGAAGAAGTTTTTTCCAAACTCATAAGTCGATAACTGTTGAATAGATAGATAATGTTAGTCAATTATTATCAGCATAATTCACTTCATTTGATAATTGATAATGAAATTGTTTCTTACCATAACTGCACATGCTGTTACTACTTTAAACAATCTTGGTGTAAGACCAGCATAAAATCCTGATATTCCGCTTGATCTCATGATATTATTAATTGTTTGCCATGTTCCTGTCATTTTCTTTTTGCTACCGTTGCCATTCTTATTGTAAACAAATTTCTCTCCAAACTCAATTTGTTGATGTGTTTTAATGACATCGAAAGGACAAGTTACAGTTGCAGCAATACAACCTGCTAAAGCGCCACCAATAAATGCTTGATATACTTCTGGTTGAAGAATTCCCATGTAACGTTTGTATCCTTCATAGGATGTCCAATAAAATGCCGAAAATGGTGCGTCACGCATAATTGTTGGTAGTAAACCTTTGAAAAGTCCTTTCATTCCATATTGTCCAATCATTTGTCTGAATGCTTGACCAACTTCTGTGTAACTCATTTTCTCTGATTGCATTTTAGTACGAATGAGTTCTAGTGGATTTACAACAGTCACAGCAAAACATCTTGCAGTCAAACCAGCAATCAATGGGATAATCATTGGGATTCTATAATCTTCACTATTTGACATTCCTAATTGTTTCATATGTAGATCTTTAAGACGAACACGAATTTGTTCATATGCTACAAAATAAAGAACAGTTGTTGGAAGCGCTAAGACAAGTGTTGGACTTAATCCACTCCAAAGTGAACGGAGACCTTCATTGCGTGATATTTTCATAAATGCATCCTAATAGGAAATAGTAAAACATTCAACCTGTCGCAAACTTTATAATCATAATGTTCCATATGTACCATTGTGCCATTGAATCTTTGTTTATCAGGTATAAGACTTCCAGTGGGACCACAAGGGCAAAGATGGTCCATCAAACCATTGCAATAAAGATAGCATTTGTTTGATAACAACATCTTTTGTTGTACCTGAAGTCTTGTTTTTACAACATCCATGGGTGTCATTAAGAGACTCGTTATAAGTGCACCAGAAACACTTGAGCAAGCTTGTTGATAAGGACTGATAGCATGCGGTGATGAAAAACAATCTTTAAATTTGTAATAATTGAAAAACCAATTAATTAATTACCGTATACGAAATCTTGGATCATCTGCATCAAAACCATGAATTTTGTAACTTTTTGACATTCTATGAAATATAAATCAATTAAAAATTACACAATTAAACCAAAATATTTAGTTCAGTCGAAAGATTTTCAAAATTTGCTGCTCAAAGCAAAACATTGGAAGCGAAATGGGAAGCGAAGAAGCTAAATGGGCCCTTAAGCCCCTCATGGGGGTGAGGCACGTGTTTTGCATCATTTTTTGAAAGAACAATTTTATTCAAAACAAGAAATATTTTCTCGAATAAAATATATAAAATTACATTGAAACGATACCAAAAATGGAAAAGAAAAAAGGATCAAAAGCTTTACCAGATCTACCATCTGACAATCAAATACGAATCAAACGTCTACTACAGGATTTAGAGCGAGAATTTGACATTTTACTCAACGAAAATTCATTGCGTTAGTTTAGTTTTCAAATAAAAATCAATAATTTTTTATTCATTATATGTTCTAATTGTCGCTAAGGCCTTTTCTAATCTGTATCATATATCTTTATTTTAGTTCAAGAACAACTTAATCGCTTTACAAGTGAAAGTGGAACACCAGCAAATACAAAAGAGAACGAACGACCTTCAGCTGATTTCGAAATTTCCGAAGGAAAAAAATTAAAATCAAAATTAACTGCAAGTGGTACAAAAGCTGGTTATAAGATTAGAGCACAGACAAGTCGAATAGTTTCAAGTTTTAAAACACAGTCGATCGTTTCTTCGCTCGTAAGAGACTTTACTGGCACACATTCCGATGGTGTCTGGGAAGTCTCAGCTTCATTAAATCAACCTTTGATTGCAACAGCGAGTGCTGATCATTTAGCTTGTATATGGAGCATTGACACTGGACGATGTTTACTTAAATATGAGGGTCACGGAGGCTCTGTTAATTCTATAAGATTCCATCCATCAAAAGATTTGTTGCTGACTGCATCTGGAGATACAACAGCACATATTTTTCTGGGAGCTGTTAATTGGGAAAGTGCCGCTGCTTCATCACGTCGTGGCCATTCATCAGAAGAAGAGCTTGAAGATGATTCAGAAGAACCACATGCCGTTGAAGAAAGAGAAAGAATTGAAACACTCAGAACGCCACTTCAAGAGTTTTCGAATGGTCATTCATCAGTTGTAGTCGCTGCTGATTGGATTGCTTCGACAGAATCACCTACACAAATTATTACAGCTTCGTGGGATCGCTCGGCTATTCTCTGGGACATTGAAACAAAAGCATCCATTCAGACACTCACAGGCCATGACAATGAACTCACACACTGTTCAGCACATCAAAGTCATCGTCTTGTGGTGACATCGTCGAGAGATTCAACATTTCGCCTTTGGGATTTTCGTTCAGAAATACCAGCAGTTAGCGTATTTCAAGGACATTCCGAATCAGTCACTTCTACCATCTTTACAAAAGACGACAAAGTCATTTCAGGATCAGATGATAAATCTGTGAAAATTTGGGAGCTGAGAAATATGCGGGCACCTTTAACAACCATCAGAACCGATTCCCCAGTCAACAGACTTGCTGTCTCTCTATCTGGTGTCATTGCAATTCCACATGACAATCGTTCAATTCGACTTTTTGATCTGAATGGACAAAGAATTGCAAGACTGCAAAGAACATCGCGAATGGGTCATCGTCGGATGGTTTCATCGATGGCATGGAAAGAAAATTCGCCAACGTGCAATCTTTTCTCGTCTGGTTTTGACAAGAAAGTGTTTGGATGGCATATTTCAATTTAAATTTAAAAAAATATTGAAATATTTGTCGTCAGTATTAGAGAACTTTTAACCAAGGAAGAGTCTTTGAGTCTTTTATGTTTATATTAAGATGATGAAAGGATGGAGAAAATAATTTAAGAAATGAAGTATAAGATCTGAATCTATGTGGATAATTTGAATTCTCCTCCATTTCATCATCAAAGCTTGATTTGCCATCTCGACCACAATTTCCATGACCGTCTCAACTTTTGTGACTTTTTTAACATTAAAAGTGATTTAACATCCGCATTTTTGAGAATCTCACAGTTACTAAATATTCAAATCCAAGGCTTTAAAATTTAAACTTAACTCTATTGTAATCGTTTGCTATCTCAAGTTTAAAGAAAATATATTTTGTTGGTTCAAAAAAAAAAAAGAGTTTTTAATGAGTTTTTGGATTGAAACATTTCATGTGAAAGGTTTCGATGTCTTGTAATGCCAAAACATTGAACATAAATAAATGGCATAATTAAACCATTTAAGGTAATTAACTTTATTGATCTGCAACATTATTGATACCTGAAAGAAATCACAAAACACCGAAAATTGTTTTTTTATTGCTTACAGTCTAGTTTTATTATATCATTGAAGGGAAGATTAACAAGGAAGTAAATTATAGGCATCAAAGCTCAAATGAATTTAAAAGGGAAAAAAATGATGATTATTAAAATAGAAGAAACTAAACCTGACATTTCTTCTCTTTACTTTGAAAATGGTGCAAATTTGAGGACACTCATAGCTTTGATTAACTTGATTAGATTTTGAAGTTAAAAACATATCGAAAGCGAGAATTTTCTTAAAAAATCTTGCCGTTGATCACATTTTGATTTACTTTTCCTCGCACCAAGTGTTTTCTTTTCGTACTTGCTCCTCTTCAGCAGGAGTGAAGTCATTTTTGATGTTAAATGTTTTACGGATTTCATCGGGAGTTTTGCCTTTGATCATATTAGCAACAGTTTTGCATGTGACATCTAACAAGCTACGGATGTCCAAGTAATTTGCAGCGAGAATTAATTCAAAGAGTGTGCCTTGATCCACCTAAAATTAATAAAAATAAAATTTAGAAATTTAATTAAAAGTGAATTAATTTAACTATTTACTTTTAAGAAATCGGCGTCCCAAGAGGTAATGTCATCAGTTCGCTTTTCTTTATTCTCATCATCATCAGTACTCGATGGTACTGGGTCATCCTTATGGTATGTACAGAACTGAATAACCTTCCGCAAAATGGCCGAATTAACATTTGGCAATGGTACAACTTCATCCTCCGAATTTGCTTCGTCAATGCCTAAATCCTCCAGCATTGTTCCTGAAATATAAGAAGGATGAGATATTTTCTTAGTATTTCAAAAAAAGAAAATGGTTGAAGAAAAATATTGAGCGATAAGCTAGTCTAAAATTAGCAACTTTCGCATTGAAATGTCAAATGATCAAGCAAAACTCACGAATTGTTCCGCTGCATTTGGCAACCGAAATATCTGTTTCGAAGATTTCGTTGTCAGACGATTGAAGTTTGATACACTGCATGTTGAAGTTTTAGAGAGAAAATCTGAAACGAATTTAAGGACACAACAATGAATCACAAATATGTACAAAGAACGCACTTTTGTCATAAGATGCTTTTATGCCAGAGAAAAACTTAATTTTTCCTATCTTATTGTCTATTTTTCATTCTGATGTGATAAAATTTAAATAAATTCAACTCTTAACTTGAAATTTTTAGTTTTTTTGAAGTAATTAAACCTGTCTTACCTGTGCTTGAATCAAATTTTAATAAAACACAAAAAATTTTCTTTAGAATTGTTAGCGTCTTTCGTCTTTGCTTCAATATTTTTGCATCTTTTATTAATTCAAATAAAAATTATCCGTTAAACATCAGATTTCAGATTTTTAAATTTTACTACCTAATGCGAGTTATTGATCCATTGATAATTGTGGGTCCTGATTTTGTTTTGATTTCACCAAACCAGCCTCATCTTTGAAGTCTTTACAAAGTACTCGACACTGTTAAAAGTAGTAAATTAATATAAATCTCATGCTAAGAATCTCATACCCACAGCATAATATACAAATGGCAATGGTAAAATAATACCAGTGGTAATATCAGTCACATGATGCCAGTTATCTGTTACTCTAGTTATGCTACAGACTGCTATCCACAACAACATAACAAGATGTATGAATGTAAGAACTGTTGAGAACTTTAAGAATTTTCTTTGAAGGTACCACATGAAACAAGCGCAAGCATAAACCACTGACACAACATGTCCGCTTGGAAAACTTCTAGTGCTTTCAGAAAGCAAATAAGCGTTTGCTGCTGAATTAGTACATTTGAAATCTGAGCTTACATAAGCTCCTGTTGTGCAATTTACTGCTAAGTCTGGCTTACATATGTCAAAGAAAAAAGGGCGATGAACTCCTGATAAATTTTTGATTGTTGACATCAAAATCATCAACGATATAAATGTGAAGAAGTAATGTTTAAACCATGTAGAAGAACGAATCAAGGATTTTCTTAAGTTTCGACGAGGGTTTAAAAGACATTCAACAACACATATCTAGAATTAACAGATAGTTAAAAGATTTAAATAATTAAACTTGCTTAATTTAATCATTTTTACCAGTAATGGCACACCATAAAAATTGATATGCAACCATATACCCCTAATAGTTGACTTCTTATAGGGCAACGAAAGTGATGGATTGCCACAAAAGAATCCTCTTTGAATCTTAGGCACAGTCGAGTCCACAAATCTCCATGCTATCAATACTGAAAATAAATTTATATTAGTAAATCGATATATAATCAACCTTTAAGTTTCTTTAAAGTTTTAGATAAAGGACAAAAGAAATTTTACTTATGATGTAAATTATAATATCCAGTGTAATAATCAGCTTCTGCTTCAATTCCATGTTTACTTATATTTTCAGTCTTCGTGAAAATGATAAACTCAAGCTGGTGAAAATTTAGCTTGTAATGAAAGATACAAAAATGCTAAATATCTATCTCTATAAAAATAAAAACTTTTATCACTTTTGTTTTGATTCCTTTTCGTAGAAAATTCAAATAAAATTCAACATTGAAATGTAAGTCAGTTGACTTTCTTCTTATTAAATTAGGTATGTTTGTAAACATGTATTAACAAAATTATTGAAGATTTAACTTTATGTGCGTTAAATTTTCTTAAATGAGTAAGTAAAACTTCGAGATTTTTGATTCTCTGTAAAATTTATTTGTTTATTGTCGGGAATATCATTTCAAAGAAAAATTTTGATATGGAAAAATTGAAAGTTATAAATGGAACTTTATCGACCACAACGATAATAAATCAGAATTATTTAAACCAGCAAGTTTGCAACTGATAAACCAGGAATGTGCCGTGTACGATTAATAAAATCATTGACCGTGCATGCATACCCATACCCTCTATGCAAATTTGTACGTTGCCAAGTCACCCAAGTAATCATGTCAGCAACATCGCTACAAATAACATAATCTCTCAATATTTCCGTCAATGTCAAATGTGGGTTGTTAACACCAAGTAAGACAACTCCTGAATTTCCAGCACGATTGATAAGAATTTTATAAAAAAGCATTGGCATTGGGATTTGTCTTTGAGGCCATCCAAGGAATATTTGACGTGGAGTATTTAGGGCATCTCTTAATTGACCAATTCCAAATGTACCAGTGTAAGTTTCCAACGTGATGTTTCTATTTCCGGCTAAGTGATTGGAACTGACTTCAACATTCACCCAATTCAATCCATTAAAAGTTTGAAATTGTGGTGCAGTGTTTGTGAAATAAAAAGTACTTCTTTGTTCATTAGGCGTGATAAAATCACTCATTGCAGCTAAATGTCCTCGTGCTAAGAAAATATCACTCGGCGAGTCTTCAATCCACCTTGCAGCTTGAGATGCTGAGTTAAGAATTGCGGCGATCGTATTTCTCTGGTTAGTACGAGTATGTAAACTATCAACATTCTTTCCAGGAAAGAAATCTGCTTGTTCCCATCGAGGTCTCACTACGTTTCTTACTTGATTTGCACTTGGTGGTGTTATATGATAAGAAGTGTAATAATTTTCTTCAGTCACAGTGTCATGACAAGTCGTGAAAACACGCAGGAAACGGTTACTTACAGCAAATCCTGTGTCCACAAATATTCCATTGTTGAAACATCGTTGACTTCCTGTTCGTCGACGAGGGACGTGAGTTGGCCAATCGCGACACGTAAACTCATTCATATTGTAAAAGATATTGTTAAATCGGAAAATTGTCCCTTGACTGCAATTGATTGTGATTAAGCTTCCACTAACACCTGATGGTGTAGCAAATCCAGTTGTACAGAAAAGTTCCATCGGTTGATTAAGAGTCATTTCGATGAAACCACGACTGTCAGTAGGATGGAAAAATTGTTCGGTTCCGGGCCTTATAAGAAGTGGTTGTGGATCTGCCAAATGGGTGTGCACCGATACCGAACATGCTATATTTGCTGGAGAAATATTAGAAGTATCGTATAATGCTTCTGATATTTCTTTTTGAACAATATCATTTTCGATATTTGTTGCATACGCAACACAAATAAAAGCCGCGATAAAAACTCCGAACTTCATTTTGTTAATGAGTGACAATTTTCAGTTTGCTTCTTTATTTATTTGTTCTTTTGTTTTAAAGCTAGTGCGAATTTTTTGATAACATAAGATAACATGAGATAACATAATGGATCGATTTTTAGATTGTTTAATTCCTTTTATCAACTTAAATAAACTTAGCTGGACAGAGTCGATTTCTGTATCTTCATTGTTGGAAAAACCAGAAATACAGAGTATTGAGATAAGTATGTAAAGTAGAATAATCTGAAAAGGAACAATGAACATTAATTTATTAATGTTAACTAACATAAATATTTATTCTTCTTTATGTAACGGCTTGAAAAAATTTAAAATGCAACCAATTTTTCCCTTCAGATGGCGTTCAAAAAGTAATTTTGTTTATTTACAAGTTTCATTTAAACTTTCTATTTGAAAATAAGATTCACAAGCCAAAAGTAGACTATTTCTTAACTTTTTAAGACAACTAATATTAAAGATGAGTGATTCCGAACCCGATAATGATAATTGGGATGTCGAAAAGTATAGAGTTGATTATGAATCAGAAGAACATTGGGAACTAAGAAAAGTAATAAAATCTAAAACGTTTTCATTTTTAACAATGCTTAATAAATATTTCTTTCATTTTAAGGCATTTATGGAAACCCATCGTGAAAATTTCGGCGAAGATGAGATTGTGTGCTTAGCAAGAGTATTCACAAATGTTGAATTTCTTGGATGTCGCTACTCGAATGAAGTCATGAAACAAATTGCCGAACTTTCTAAGGGGATCATTGAGAAATATCGCAGATCTAGACAAGGACGACTTAAGAGAACATTTGTTGGTGCAGCGGAAGCAGCTCAAAACAAAGTGCAAAGAAAATAAAATCTTAATTTTAATAAATTTTATTTCTAAGACATCTACAAAACTAAAAATATTGTTTTCATTCTTCATTATCGTAATTTGAGGACAATTCACATTGAGTTCGCGCTGCCTTGAACCTTTCAACTGCTTCTCTTGTTATTTGGGGACATCCCCGAACATCTAATTGAATCAGTCTTGGAGCATTTGTTTCGAAGTGGGACAGAGTGGTATCAGTGATATTTCTAAAGTTTCTCAACACGATTCTTTCAAGATATGTGTTATGATCGGGTGGTTGACTTCCAAAGTACACAAGATTACCGAGCAAATTGGGACGTGGAAAACCAAATCCAAGCATTCCACGATCACTTACAGTCAAAGGTTCATAATTACGAGCACTATTTATCCCAAATTGGAGATAACGTCTTGCATGTGGATAATTATTGCCAAGAACAACATGAACAGGAGGATTCGCAGCATTTGGTGGATTTTCTTCCACCGGTTCTTCAGGATTGATGTTCGCTCTAATCACAATTGTCCGATACGGCATATCTTCATTTGATGAAGATGATGAAGAAGAAGACATCGAATCTGAAAAACTTTCAGAAGACGACGAATCTCCGTCGTTATTATCTAGATGCCTTGATGTCGAGGGTACTGGTTCTCGTGGAGCGACTCTTGGTGACTGCTCAGTGTTATTTAGTCTTCTCGATGGCCTTCGAGTCCTACGCAAAAATAATTCAAAGTCGTCTTCATCGTCAGATTCATGACGCTGTTCTGTTTCTCGATGCTCAAGATAAAGTTCCTTCAAGGATTTTATCGAATTTAAACAATTTAATTCACCATCACAAACATTTGTTTCACGAAGATCAAAAACTTCCAACTTTGGAAATCCAAAACGACATGCAAGCGACAAATAGGGAACACAATTCTTCATTTTCCGACATCCACGGAGACTTAAAATTTTCAGATTTTGAAGCTTTGAAAACGGCATAACATCGTTTGATTCGAAGAAATTACAATATTCGATACGTAGCTCTTCTAATTGAGGCATATGCTCAACGATTCCTGTAAAAGTGTGAACCATGCGATGGTTTCTAACCTTTGGCATGATGCAACGTGAGAATGAAAGAGAACGAAGATTTGCTGGGAATTTTGATATGGAAAACTAAAGAAAAAGTAAATTTAATTTCAGATAAGAGAAAAAAGTTTCATAAAATTACATTTCGAGTCCAATCGAACCAAACTTTCTTGAAGAGAAGATGTTGAATTAGTGGAGAGCGATTAACAATTCTTTTGATTATTTCTTTAAATGTTTGTCGATTTGGCATCGGTCGTGAATGCATATTTTCCTCCTTACAGTCTCCTTGAATATTTAATGATTTTGTTGTCACTAGAAGAAGTTTTAATCTTTTCAGAATTTCCCAGAAATCAAACTCCCTGCTTGTGAAATTCATGTGTGTCCAAAGTTTTTTGTCTTGAGAGAGAAGTTTAAGTTGCAGACATGTCCTGTTGAAAGTGAAAAAAAGACATTTTTCAAAACTCGGCAAACACAGCAAATTATAAGAATTTTGTTTTTTTAAAAATTAACTTACTGCCCAAGATTACGTAAACTTTCGCTGTCAAGATAGCTCAATATCTCAATAAGAACTTCATCTGGCAAATGTAATAGTGCAAATTGTGGATCTGATGTTAGAAACTTTCGTTTTGCATTTTTTTCTTCCGATTCTTCATCACTTTCTATTTTACGTTTTCTGCTTAAATTCTCCTCATCTTTTAGTGACATTATAACGTTTTTGAAAGCAATCAAACAAACTGAATTGATTCGTTAATACTTAAACAATATTAAAACAGTGGATTTATTAGAGAAATCAAATTTTTTGATTTGTGTACAAATATGATTCAAGCAGACAAATTTCACCTAAGTTGAAAAAGTGACATCTGGTGGAGTTTATAAATTGTAAGCAAAATTTCACCATAAAACGTGGACTTCCAACATATGGGCAGAGAAGAAATGTTTTATTAATTTAGCAAATTAAATCTATTAAAAACGCATTTCAAAGTCAAATATGTTCTTAATGATTCAAAATATGAATTATATCTCATATTAAATGTTGTCATTTGGTGACGATTTTTTTAGATAATTTACGAGTGTTTTAATTTCTCTCCACATATTTTTATTACTATTGTCACAACAATGTTTTTGCTAATTTTTTTAGTCTAGGATTAGATTTAGAGTTTTTTAATAGATAAACATGAAGAAAAGGATAAATTGAAATATATTTAGTTTAATCGGAAATAGCATAATCAAATCATTTTATTTATTACAGCTTAATGTTCAAATATCTTTGACGAAAAAGAAAATTTTTATTTTTTCAACCTTCAATTTATGTTTTTATTATATGAATTATTCAAAAGTTCATGTGAAAAGACAAAGGATTTATATTAATTAAAACCTTAAACGACCATAAAATGATTAACCGCTCCCCCCGCAAAGAGTTTTGCATTAATTGTTCACCAAACATAGCATTTAAGTCATTTCTCATTTCATGCTTCAGCAACGCGAAAATGCATTAAGTTTATGGGGTAGATTTGAGTTAGGTGATAACAAAAATTAATCTATTTTTCATGCTTTGTTATGTTCATTCTTTCGCCGCTAAAGAGATTTGTCAGAAATTGTGAAATGCATAATTATGTTGGTTTTTGTGATTTCTGATGACGTTTGCTTTGCTTTGTTAAGAAGATTCTTAGTTTATGAAAGTAAAAAACTACAAGTGCTCACGTTTTCGCTCACTACTTGCATGTTATTTGATATTTCTATTAATTAGTTGTCAATCATAGTTCAGTGGCCAAGGGATAAACTTAATACATATCTACATGTGTCAATGTTTTTGGCAGCGAATTACTACTGAAAGTTTGAAAAACTTGACACAAATAGTTTGAACATTGAATAAATACTAAAATTAAAAATTAATTTTACTTTTTGCATAATTTGTAGAAGATTTTGAACATTGTTTATGCATATAGCAGGAAGGGTAATAAAAATAAACTATGCACATGTGTAGAGACAACTTTGGAATGCAAGAATAATAATCTGGTTGCAATATGTGGTTTCAAATTACAATAGAAGATTAACTTAGAAATATACTGAATGAAGTAGATGCAGACTTTCTTTAAGTTTTGATTATGATGTTAGATTGACCTTATGATGTTTAGTTGTTATTTTAATTGTTTACTTTATAAAGTTGCTGCAAAAACAAACCTAGCAAATCACTTACATTAATGTCAGAGTTCATTTAAGGAATTATAGAAAAAAAGAGTTTGTCACTTACATTAAGATAAACTCAAATGAAAATGATTAAATATGTTACACATGATTGTACATAAACACATATTTTCCCTTTCTATCTCATCGCGTGTGGATCAAGATTAATTGAGTTTTAGTCATGTAAAAAATTTTTTTTTTCAAGAGTAAATTTAGAAATATTTTCTCGAAATATCTAAAAGTGAGGATGGTTTTTTTCTCTTGCAATTTAAAAATAAATTAAGAGAACTCTTAGTTTATCGGCGTGTGTCGTTTGCAAAGTTTTGTGAACATTAAGAATTGTTTGCAGATCTGTTTACCATTTGCGACTTTTTATTTTCCATGACTCAAATTGTAGAAATATTTTGAATGTCAAGGCCAGAAACTTTTAGCACCTTTGTGTCTATTAATTTTTTTTATTTCAAAACTGATAATACTTCGATTGATTTCCAATGTTGATGATATATAAATTAATACTTTTGATAAGATAAATTTTCTACTTCCGTCAAATTTTCATATAAATTTTGCAAACGCTTCTTTGTGGCATAAACAAATATTTCATGATTAGTTTTCAAAGCAGAGCGACAAAGTTATTTAAGTCTTGTGTAAACAATAATGTTATGACTTGTTAAACGTTTAAGCTTGGGTTTACATCATTAAACATGATAAGAAAGCAAACACAAGGCGCCAGAAATTCTACTTGAATAAACAATTCAATATCGCATCGAGACTTCTTGTTGACATCTGAAATTTTTACACAGAAACAAAACCAGCCAAAAAGCTAATAAAATGTTAAGAAAATTAATGAGAAAGTTAGAAAGAAACTTAAGTCATAAACTCTCTGCTAAAAGTCGCTATTAAACCTGATGACACATTAATAAATGTTTTAAAAAAGTAACAAACTCAGTTGACTAATTGCACAGTAAATTGAACGACTCATTGCAAAATGACAAGTTGGTTTACCGGGTAAAGCTTCTCAAGCCATATTTATTTTTGTCACTACTCACAATTCTTTAAGAAAATAAGAGATAACAAAGCTTTTCTTTAAATTGAAATAAATTCTTCAAATGTCTAAAAAGAAAACAAGTTGAAGAATTCTTTGAAAATATATCTTGAACAGTACAATTGATCAAAACCAACTTAATGTGATTCAACAGCAAGCATATCAATTCAACATTCCCTTCTCATTGCATGTGGATCGAGGTTAAATGATTTTATTGGAAAATTATTTAAAATATCAAGACATAGATACCAAATTAACACCAATCAAGACCACATTAGATTCTCGTAAAAATGCTATAATCATTTCCATTACATAAAACTCTTAAAGAAGTCATTGGTGCTCGTTATCTTAGGCTAACCATAGGATCATCATTGCAGTGACAACGAAAGAAAAAGTCTCAATATGCATAAACAAGTTAATTCCAGCATAATTGAAGCGACAACTTCCACTTATCGGGGTTAACCAAAAAGATCAGCATACTTATTGTTGTTCTATGATTCTTGATTACCCGAATTCCATTGGCGCGACTCGACTGTAATAATTGTCGCTATCTATTAAATGTAAATTTCGGTCAACAGTGCTAATTTTGCTTGCTTTTCTATTTATAATGCGTCGAAGCTATAACTGTGTGTGATGTAAATTGATGCGTCTACGTTTTGAAATATTTTATTGTTTTGTTTCAAATATTTTATTCAGTTTATTAACGCTTGGCTAGGTAGAAGAAAATATAAATCATTTAAAAGAATAGAAATAAAGCAAGAACAAAACGAGAACTAAAGGAAATCGTAGGTTTTAAATCAAACCATTCTTTCTACATCTGTGTAGATAATCAAAGTTTTACTAGAGTTGTACGAAAAAGAATGCTTAAGTTGAAGGATTTCTGAACAAAGTTTACGTTTTCCTTCATGTCAAATTTATTCAAGCATTCTAGATTAATTCCATCTATTCGATAATAAATCTCTATAACTTAATTTGTCGCTTTGAAGTTATTTCTTCAATTCTAACAGCAGACTACAACCTGATTAACATTTTCCACATAAATTCTTTCAGCAGGCAAAAAAATATTTCATGTGTTTATTCTAGATGTCAGCTTAGCAGAACTTCAGTTTCATGATGAAAGCCTTGTGGTAGACTCGCGTGACCACCTACAATCAAATGTTGGAAAAAATGTTTTGAGGCGATTCTTCTTATATCAATTCGCCGCGTTTGTTGCCAAGTCCTTGATGGCTTTTGTGCGAATATGCCAAAACCTTAATCAGATCGATACTTTTTAGTTATTCACCACTACAAAATAGATTTTTAGACACAAAAACATTTGCGCTTTCCTTAACGTGACCCAGATCATTTTCTCTGTTTGTCTCATATGCAATTCGTCAGAAAAAGAAAGCCGGGTTGATGTAAATAAATACATTGCAAAGTCCTAGATATTAAAAATAATTTAATCGCCTATGATTGCACAACCTACATTTGGCGATTGAAGAATAAACAGAAAGCACTTCAAGCAATTGTAAACAATGTTTAAGTGTCATGAGTTTAAGTATAACTGTCACTGACAAATAGTTTATTAGCTGCACTTGTTAAAATGCAAAAATCAATAAACCTTTTACTTATTGAAATGTGTTTTACATTAATCAAGAATTCTGTACAATGAATTCTTTTTATTGATATCTCTAGAATTCAACGAAGAATGATGTAATTTGTGTCACTATTCATTTAATTCTGATGTCACATGCAAGAGAAATTTAAATGAGATCTTGCAACAATTTTCATTTTGCTTTGATGATGAAGAAACAAAAACCAATTTTAAAGCATCGTAAAAATGCAGTTGGCATGTCATTAAACAACAAATGTAACAAACAATAAAAGCAAATCGCATTTTTATGAATCACTCGGTTGATTGAATAAGAAAATTTAAAGTCTTTTGTTGGTGTGATGAATTTTTCTACACAAATGTTATTCAAGGCGTCATCCGAAGGAATTTAAAAATGAAATCATTTGCAGATTTATTTTTAACATGTTGTCATAATTTTCGCTGCATCGTGCAGTGTGGTTGATGTTGAAAAAGCGGCAGTCATGTGAAACTAGTTGCCCCTCGATTTGTTCAATGGATTTATGACGCAACATAAACATTAAAACGCATTTTTATTTGCATTCACTGTTGGCAATGAAACTTGATATTTACATGGGTTAAATGAACGCTTCGATCGATAAGCTAGGAAATTATTTAAATGATTGTATCAACAGAAATGGGTCAACCTGACGGGGAAAGATATATTTACGCTTTGGGACATTAAAATTATATTACCATGGAATATGAAATGAATGTGCAGTATATGCCAAGCTGACGACTCAAAGTTGGCAACGAAGCTTTGTTTATGATGGATTTTAGTGCCATGAACTAAGAAATAAGTTTAACAACACTACTGCAAATAAAATAACACGGAATGGGAATGATAACAACATTGGCTTCATTAATTTATTCGCCAGTATGTCTGGTCATTTAATGAAAAGATGAGAATATCTCTGAATGAAGATTAAGAATAATTTGTTGTATTTAAATCAGCAATTAACACATGAAGTATAAAAGGTGTGGAGTGCGATATATAAATTTATCACAACTTATAACTTAGACCGCAGCAGATTTCTTAACACGCAATAATTCATTAAATCAAGCATCGTCCAACCTTGAAGATTAAATCGAGACTGTAACTAACCAACATTAAAACAATGAAATTTAATCACGCAAAAAAAATTATTATAAAATGAATAATTAAGGGCTTGGCCTTTGTGAAATTTTCTTGTCGTCGTCTCCAAATTTATTTATTTTTGGTTTTGTTCTTTACATAATGATTTAATGAACAACGCATTTGCATTTTATGTAAATCAATGTTCCAAAAGGGAAAGACGAAATGCAGGCATTGCACATGAGAGACTGGGTAAATAGCCGTCAGTCATTTTAATGAAAGCACACTTTTCAAAGAGTCATCGACGAAGAATTTCTTGTGAAGAAACATAAACGTACATTTGGCTCGCATGAAAGTTAATTGAATGCTTCAGCGAATAAATTTTCGAGTCTCATTCATTTCTTTCATTAGATATTTAAAAACTGTAAAGTATTTCAATTCCGTTGAAGTAGACGAAATGCTGTATTAAAAATTTATTTTCAAATCCACATTTTGTGATGAACTATTAGCTGCACGAAAGTTATAGTTCAATGAACCTAACTTACAGTCATATGCTGTAAACGCTTATGCGGTTTAATCGATATCTGAGTTCTGTTTGTGTTTCATTCTTTTCAGATTTCTTCTGTTTTTTTATTTTGATTTTCTAAATTCATGGAAATCGATATGAGGATGGGTCGGCGTTGTTTTCGTCTTTTTCCTTCTTCATTTTCTTTTTTGAATTCGTAACAGGGAAGGTTAACCGCGCCACTGACACAGTTTTAGAAGGTTTTCATTTCCCTAAATGTTTTTCTTTATATTTGAATGAAAATCGATGGGAAAGTTATCAGCAGTTTCATCGATGAAGCATTAAAAGTAACTAAGAAATAGAAATAATGATGGCAAGTAAAAACATAACAAGAGAAATAAAGAAATTTTATGATGGAGAAGTCACAAAGTTCTTCTCAAAGTAATGAAAAAAGTTCTGAAAACACGAGTGAGTGACTTATGGTTGACAATTAAACTTAATTTTGAAATGTTTTCATTGAAATTAGCTTTTCCGAAAAACATGAAATCTGTTTGAATTTCAAAGAAATTTTACTGTCACATAAGTTGATTGTAATGCGATCAAAGAAAATGCAGTAACCGCAACTAGATATACGCCCAAAGCATATTACAGACTCACCCGTAATTTTGACACTTTCAAGACATGACTATAAACATTCTTAAACATCTCTCTGAGATTACTAGGAAGTCTGTCAAAAATTATGTCGCATTACTTGCTGCCACTTGTCGCTCGTCAGATTTTAACAGATTTGTCGCATGAATATGTATATGAGTAACTCATAAATATTGTGCGTTGAGTTGTTGTCATCCATTGTCTGCTAATGAAATTGTCAAAATGGACAAAAAAAAAACCATTTTGTCTGGTAGCAAAAACCTTCTTCACTTGATTATGATGAATGACTTTTTGAGCGGTCAATTATACTTTCGACTAATACTTTCAAAATAAAAAACATAAAAGAAATATTTTTTCGTCTGCTCCTAAGCTGAACTCACAACAGGAAACAAGCTGAGAAATATTTTATGCATGGAAATATTTTTAATGCATTCACAATCTTTTTTTTAGAAATGACCTCATCGCTTGTGGCTTCATTTTTGTACATTCGTAGCTTTAACTTTGCGAAACAAGAAATGCAACATAAAATCAGAAGACAAGCTGCAATGAAAAGCAGCTATAAAAGAGAATTAAGCTTACATTTGATATACGGACGACAACAGCAACCAACAGAACAGAAATGATCTTTTGTTGCTTACTTCATCCCACCTAATCTGATGTAACGAATCTTTTTTATTTTCTCATTCATATTTGCAAAATGCAATTTTCACGAGACGTTTCACGGACTGAAAATCTCAACAGATTATTCGCGTTCATGTCTTTCATCTTGGTTTTTAAATGCTCATATTGTGCTGATAGCTTGTAGGTGTATTCATTCAATAATGAATCATGCGTGCAAAATCGTCTGATGAGATCGTAACCTTGGTACAATTTTTTGTTTAAGAAAATGTTTGAATGACCATGAAAATCAAACAAGGAATCGAAGAGAAAGCACAGATTCATTTTTAAAACTGACATGATCTTCCCATTGGGATTTTGTGATATTTTCCGCTAGCAAATGTGGGCCAGATATTTATATACATTTTCGCTTTTCACGTCTTTAATTTTAGTTTTATTTGAAATTTTCAATTCTTTGTGAAATGATTTTCCTAAAGAAATGAGAACTGCAAAGATTATTTGATTTTCACATGCTTGTTGCATGAATTATGATTTGGTATGACATTGATAATTAATCAGATGTCTAAAACATCTTATTGAAGTTCTGCCAATGTTTGTGCAAATTTTCGCAAGTGTTATCCGAATGTTTATGATCGAAAGTATGCGAAAGATATTTTCACAGCAATGATGCTTAACGATTTGAGGTGAAAAGAATTTGTTTGATTATACATATTTTAGATAAACTAAACATACTTGAAATACCAATTATCTATCATTGAAAGAAAAGTTGAAGAAAATGTGATGTGCAAAGCCTTGAATGTCATTAATTATGCAAACAAATTTCTCCATATTGTTGATTCTTAAGTTTTTCTGCTCGCTACTTTGTGTCATGTCGAATTAAAAGCCCGTCACTCTTGATAAATTCGAAGCACCATTCACTTGTTGACAAATTATTCATGACAGTTTCTTAAAAATGCAGTAAATGTTGAGAGCTATTGAATTAATAAGCACATTGACATCCCTTTTATAGTCACGACAAACTACATACATTACACTACAATTAACTACAACTTAAAAACGAAGCCATTATTAATTGAAACTGATGAAATTTTTAAACTGCATTTTATGTTCATTTTTTCTGAATCATTTTGGTTAATTAATTTAGCTTTTTAATGCATTAAGAGATGAAAGAATATTAATACCGAGTTTACAAGAGTCAACAGGTTTAAATCATTCAACTTTTGAAACGTGTGGTGAATAAAACAGAAAGCAAAGTGTAGTTGAATAAAAAGATTATTAAGCTGTTTACCTGAAATGATATGGTGATTGATGGCAATGAAACTTTTAAGATTAAACTTCAGTCTCAATGAATCATGTTTAGTTTAGTAGGTAGCGTGAAAAATCTCTTGATAGTTGATCATCTCTCAATTATCAATTACGAATCATAATGCTTAGATACAAGAAACAATCATTACGTTCAAAACTTTTTTAATTTGCACAAGAACAACGTTTTTTATGGTAATAAACGATTAAATTATCTAAGATCATTTAAAAAAGATGAAAGAACAAAAACCGACAAAACTCAGCATTTTGTATTCAAATTTCTGTTAAAAACTGGTTTTTTGTTTCACTTTCATCAATTGTTGGACTTTGAAAGAAGAAGAAATAAAGATACTACGTTTTTGTTGTATTAAGGCCTATTTTAGAATTGTTACATTTGATGTTCATTGATACTTTTACGATCGCAGAGCTTCTAGCACTGAGAGTGAAAAATCGCTTTCCATTTTTAATGAAGCCTTTTAATAACTCAATTAAATCAATAGATTTGTACCATAAATGGGAAGCAATCATTCCAACTATTCTTAATTGATTCTAGAAGAAACATTGCGATCATAAAAGTGTTGAGAAATTGTAAGTTAAAGAAAATATGAAATTGATCGTGATATCGGAAAGAGATTGAATCAAAATAGATTTCCATGAATGAAGATTTATTTTAAAATCCATTTACATCTTCCTGTGTTTAAAGAATTAATGAAAAATACCATGAAATGCCAACAGACTTTTGTAGTTGATACGTATTTACATCAATTTATTTAACCACACACTCTTTGGATCATTTTAAACATGTTTATTTATATTAATTAGCTTTTGTTATGAAATTCATCACATGATTTGGATCTTAAATAATCAAGATGATTATTTTTTATATTTTTCGATGTTTTTCTATTGCAAAACTGAGTACGTGCTCTTCTTATGTTAACCACACAAGTCTCCGATAAATCATATTTAACGAAGGGAGAAATAAAAATCATAAGCAAACAAAAGCAATGATAAGACCCAAACATATTTCATAAAGAAATAATATTTTTGATATTATAAAAATAGAACAGAAAGACAATAAATATCCGGTATTGAATAAATTTAGAACGGTTTCATTTCTGGATGCTTTTAAGTCTGTCTGTAGGTTTTTCATAAGAATTTGGATTTTATTTTCTGTGGGCAATTACAGTTAATACGAAGAAGGAGAAAAAAATTGACTGAATTTAATGTTTCTTTTAATGAAGCAAAAACAAAAATTTATATCTTGCCATAAAATTATTAACTAAAAAAATCATGAACGAGAAAAAAAGAGAATACAAGAATTTTCAGTAATTTTATTCCATAACAATGCCGACTTTGACTTCAGGCGAAAAACATTAAAACACTTAAAAAAACCACACGCAAGTTGAACGTTCTCACCGGAACAATGAGGTAAGTTTGATAGCCAGAAGTTGATGAAATCATTATTGAATTTCCAGAGCTCTTATCAAAATTGAAAATGTAAGCAAACAATGCAGCAACTGCTGCCGTTGGTTGTGAAATTTATTTAACTTTTTTTGTGAAAAGAAACATAACAAGGAAGAGGAAGCAACGATTGCATAGCACATTAAAACAACTGTAAAAGAAATTTCAAGAAAGCATTTCTTTCTGTAAAGTTCAAGATGTTTCGCGTACAATGAATGCACGCTCTTTGTGGTATCATCAGCACATGTAGTTGATCTTTCTATCATAAAAAAAAAACAGCTTCTGTTGAAAACTTGTTTTAATGCTGGTAGAATTAAATTAAAGATTTTTGAACCATGAAATATGTTTTTGAACATGTTGGCGGGGAAAACAAAATTTATTTATTAATGCACAATGTGAAAGAATTTACGTCATTATCATCAAAGGTAATTATTATTTTCAAACAAAATAACAACAAAACCATTGAGTGAGTCTCATGCCATCAATCAATCTATGTTCAACTTGTATATAAAAGCATTCGGTTATTTATATTATAAATTGTGTCATTTCAAGTTTAATCACATCCACAAAACCTTTAAAGGTTGTAGTAATTATTTTGGAGTAACATTTGCTGATAAGATAAAAATTTTCATTTAAACCTTTCGTTACACAAACTAAATATTTATGTACATATTATACCTCACCTTGAATATTGCTTTACTAGTAATGATAATTTGTGTAAAAATGACGTAATCATATAATAGATTTCAAAGGAAATAGAGTGGACAGAAGCTAATTTATCAAGAGGGTTCTCAATGGCAAACAAGACTCTTACAAACAGTCTCATTGATTTCACCCAGCTATGCATGAAATTGTAGGCGGAGATCAAGGTTGCTACGATCTCTAGTGTTGGCTTTTCAGCTTTATGATTATTCAAATTCACTGAAAATCGTCATACATAAACAAACATTAAGTAATAAAATGTAAACAAACTTTTGAAATATGGTCCATAAGACAATTTAAATTTTTATTTTTATTTTCAACTTAACTCAACTTTTACACAATAATTTCTTAGAATTTAAACATTGCAAGCATTTTTACACACTTTAAATAAATTATAATACAAAAAGACCTAAGACAGAAGTAAGATGCTATAAAAATATGCATTTCTTGTATGAATTATCAATTATTATTATAAGAACGTGACAATTATTAAGTTTAATGTATTTAATTATTCTTCAAGACATCGATAAGAAGGCATCATCAGTTGCATGTTTAAGAATTCCAATAAATTTAATTATTTTTCTTTTATAAAGTTTTCTGCTGTGAAGTTTTCAGTATTTAATATTTTATAAAAACTGCGTTAAAGCAATTAAAATTTTTTATTTATATTCACTGACACAATTTTTTTCATATTAATCATTTATATGGCAAAACAAAGACTAGTCAAAGGTTTTTCAATTATCATAAAGAAAATGTCGTTCATGAAGATTGTTTAAGGAAACACAGCCGAATTATGTTCTCAAAAATCATATTTCAAAAACATAGAGAAAATATAAACTTTGCATGTCCGATGAAAAATGCTTGAGAAAGAAATTTTATTACTTGGAAATTTTCTTTTCATTAAACAATGTTATTAATGTAAGATTTATGAAAAAATATTTCTTTATTTCTTCTTAGAAAGGAAGCTTCAGATTATTTATCTCAGGGATATTAAATAAACAAATCTATCATTCTTGAAGACGTTTCATTTTCCCTGCTTAATGTTGTTATCATTTTAACTCATGAGGTGCTTTTTAAAGTGAAGTCATCATCTATGAAACCTTTAAACAACTCACATTGTAATCAAATTTAATTTCTTTTTCAATCTCGATGACAACACTCATAACAATCCCCACACTTATCAACTAAAATCTTAAACTCTAATCGATGGTTTATCATTGACTTTTTTTTTTTATTTCCTCGATGATGCTTACCACAAAAATAACATTAAATTATTCGTGACGAATGAGCTAACTGAATTTAAGGAAAAACATCGCAATTGCTAGAAAATTATACGCGAAGTGACGAACATTTCTTTTTTCTTTCTTGTTTTTTTTATCACATCGACTTGGGTAAGGAAGTGGAAATTTTGCTTTTTTCTTCTCATCTTTATATTGCGTAAATTCATAGACTTTAATACTTTATCAATTTTACCTTTTTTAAAGTCATTGTAGGTGTTGTTTAAGCAGTGAGCCGAAGTTGTTGAACAGCTTTGTCAAGAATATCTTTCAATTTCGAGTAGAGATTATCACGCCAGTAAATATTTTTGTCGATTTCAATTTCAGCAAGTTTAATGCTCTTCTCAATAGCAACCAGTCCAAGTTTATTCGCTTTTTCAGCAAATCTTACGAACTGTTCTTTGTGATAAAGTTTATTCATGAATGTTGTAGCTGAATCGATCATCTTTGATATTGTACTGAACCCATCGCCAAAGCTATTTTTAAGATGAACAAAATATTTTCGAGATTTAGCATTGAGTAAATAACTTGAGCTAGCATTTCAAGGCATGATACTTACTACTCAGAAATCTCTGCAATGTTTGTGTAAAGAAAATCAAAAGCCAATTCTGATCCCACAATATTCTTAGCAACAGCTGCGAAGGCACGCGCTCCATCTTGCTTTCTAATAGGCGAGTTTGCTGTTATTGTCAAGTTCAGATATCTGTGAATTGAAATGAAATATTTATTAGTGACATGTTCCATTGGAGAGAGCGAAGAAGAAATGAAAGAAATATTTCCTTACTTGGATAGAAGCCACGGCTTTTGAGTGCAACCCAATGCCGACAAAAGAATTTCTTTCTCTGAAGCACTCGTCGTTTCTTGATATTGTTTGTAAGCAAAATTCCATTCTGTCGCTCCACCTTCACGCAATGTTATGCAATAAATTGTTGATTTAAGATTTGGTGGAATTCTTTTGAGAGAAAATTGAAAATTTATTACTGTGAAGATAATTTGATTTATGATTTTATTCTTACTTGTTTTCAACTTTATTTCCAATCCAATCACGGAATAATAATTGCGCTTTGTTTGTGCATCGATCAATGCCAAATTCGCAAGCTAAGTCAATGATACGGGAACGATGAAGAAGTTCAACATCAGTCTCGTCGTCTAATTCTGTAAAGTCCAATTCATTGTAGGGAGTCTTTATAATGTGCTTAATAACTGTTCTGAAGCTTTCATATGCTGGTTCACGTTTCACCATGTTAGTGATGTAATCTAAACCGTTAGCAAACGCCCACCAAGCGAGAAAATCATAAGGATCTCGTATGATAATAATTCCCATTGTAATTGGAATATCATAAGAACATAAACCAGCACGAGCCAAATTAAAACTGTCATCAATTAACATTGCTCGAGCCACTTCAGGGAGTTTCCCGAAATTATTTATCAGATTCTTCCATGACACATTTTCATAGTTGACACGATAATAACCACTTCGATTAAGATTCAAATAAATCCATTCGTCTTCAGCAACAACATTAGGTATGACAATTTCCTTTTCAGTATTTGGCAGCCAATATTCGGGAATCTCAGATGATGGTTGATGTTTTGATGTGGCAAAGGAAATTGGAATAAACCATTTGGTTGTGTCACTTTCATTAGTTTGTGGCAGCATGTAACGTTGTTGTGAAACAATAATGTCAGTTCCATTTCTTGTGACGGTAACGACTGGATAACCAGCACTATCCACAGTCCATGAATCCATGATTTGCTTCACTGTAAATCTCTCGTCAAGCACTTTGTCTTTATGTGCATTAATTGTCATTACTTCCCACAAATCATCCTGAATTGCATTACCATATTCAAATTTATGCAAATAATTCTTCAAGTTCATTCGAAAGGTTGTTTCACCAAGAAAGCTTCGCATCATGTTAATAATTAAAGCGCCTTTTGAATATGAAATTGGATCGAAAACACGTCGAATGTCGGATTTCGTTTTGACAGGAAAAGATATTGGATGTGATGATGTATCGGAATCTTTTGGCATTGCTTTGCTGAATTCACTCATCGTTATCGTTTTTAAATAATCCCACTCGGGTTTAATCGCATCCGTTGCAACATATTGAAGGTAAGTCGAGAAGCCTTCTTTCAACCACAAGTCATCGTACCACTTCATGGTGACTAAATTTCCAAACCATTGGTGCGCCACTTCATGAACAAGAGTCTTTGCAAGATTTTGAAGATGATTTACTGAAGAGCTCTTTTTTGTATTTTCTGGTGCAAGCATTGCTGACTCACGGAAGGTTATCAATCCCCAATTCTGTTTATTGAAGTAAAATTTAAAAGATGTTTAATCGTGACGCATAACATTGTTTGAGAATCACTGCATTAAATTGTTTATTATTAACTCACCTCCATTCCATTAAATCCAAAGTCGGGAACAGCTACCATGTCTATCTTTGGAAGACGAAACTCAACACCGAAATATCTCTCAAAAAATGGCAGTGATGCGGCAGTCAAATTGTACGCGAAGCTGTTGAGTGATAAATGATTTGAAAAACAAAATTTTCACATCATAAAATTTAATCTCACTTAGTCATGTTTTCATATTCGGGACGAGCATACATCTTGATATGAGGCAGTGATTTATCGTTTGGATCTGATTCTTTAGCAACTTTCAAATCAGAAATGTGGAACGCGACAAGATAAGTTGACATTTTCGGCGTGATCATGTAATTTTCGCGAATGAAACCGGGTCGTACGGGTCTGAAACAAGTAAGATCATTAAAATAATTTATGATTCTTATACTTTCGAATGTCCAGTAATTATAATTTATTTTTTTGATGATGAATATTAACTTTTACTTACTCGCTCGATTCTACTGGCATATTGGACATGAATGTTGTCTTTTCAATTGGTCTTATTATGCTGATCTTAAATGTTGCTTTAGCATATGGACGGTCAATACTTGGAAAAGCTCTACGACAATCAATTGGTGAGAATTGAGTGCTAACAAACCAACTGTTTGACTTTGTGTCGTCATTGAAGAAGTTTCCTTTATAAAACCCTTGTAAAGTGTTTGTCAATTTACTTGAAAATTGCAAGATCACAGAAACATTCGTCAAACTATGTTTCGTCTCTTTAAGTGTGATAACATAACTCGCATTATCTTTTCCATATTCACAATTGTACTGCAGATCTTCTTGAATATTATTTCTCATGCTATCAACCTTGAATACGCTGCAGTCAGTGATTTCGATGTCAGTAATGTCAAGTACAATTGGATTTAATTCTTTGGTTTCATGATTTCTTGTTAACCATATGTTGACACGTCCAGAACAAGTTGAATTTTCAATATGAGGTTCAAGAAGCAAGCTATTGATTGTAAAGAAATGATTTTTAATTCAATTACTCGATTTCTCAACCAAAAACTGAGTTGAAATTACAAAATTCCTATCTAACGTAAATATTTCAATCTCTATAAATAGCACAAAAGTGGATTCCAAATTTCGTATAAAGACTTAGAAAAATCTGTTTTAGATAGTTGGAAATGATTTATAATATAAACAAGAAAAAAAAGAAGAAACTCACTCATAGTGCGAGGGAGCCCAACCTTCATGAAATTCTATCTCATCTTCAACTAGTGGTTCTTCAGTAGTTTTTAAAACAATCGCTTGGTCACTAAGAACTCCATCTCCGTTAATATGACCATGATCTTCAAGATCTTGTGATGATTTCCATACACTTCCTGCGTGGACCACGCTGCCATTTACAGAGTCATTCGCACAACTGTTAAAATTTCACAATTTTTATATGGTTTTTATGATGTTTGTATTTGTCATAATCTTACCTCGGCACTAATAAAACGTAGGTTAGCAGAGCAGTTAAGATCATCATGATAATGAATAATATAATGTAAATAAATGCGCAAGAACGGGTTACATAAAATCCTTCAGCGTCTCGATATGGGTTCACTACGTATTTTTGACCGTTCTTTGACTTCAACTGGCCACCTTTAAGATAAACAATGAAATTTCTTTTTAATAAAATAATGTAATAAAAACGTGTAAGTAAAGTCATTAAATATCATAGATTTGCAATAGTAAATGACTTTAAATATTTTAAAATTAAGTTCTACTTTATTCAGTACAGCAAGTGCAAAGATTTACACCAGTAGTAGACGTTTGAAAACCGGCGGTTTTTGTCTACTTTTCACACGTCACTAACTTGAGCAATCACTGTAATGGTACAACGCGGACTGAATACTCCACTAAAACTTTTTCGTAACAAAATAAATTGATTGAAGCTCGAATTCTAGAACTTTATATGTAGAATTATTTTACATAGACGACCTTTAACAAGTAGGTAGACAATTTAAAGTTATTTTTCAAAGAACAATAGACAATTAACTAACATTTAAAAATTTTTAGGTTGTTTTGTGTAAAACATGTCAAACAGTAAGCGTATGAAGTATGAGGGTCCTTCTACCAGACAAATGGGGAACGATACCAAGCTCGATAAGGCTCCGTATATACCTGGATTAACCAAAGAAATAATCCAAGGACAAAGAGGTTCCATGCAAAATTTTGATGGCATTCCACAAATTTTAACAATGGAGAAGGATGAAGATGGACGAATAATTAATGCAAATTGGTCAGTTAAAGGCACCTCAACTTACATTCTTACATTGAAATGTAAAAATTTACAAAACATTCAACCCTCGTATTTCAAATGGGATAATTTCGTCATAACTTGCTCATGTCCTTATGGCAAGAAGAGAAAAGAATTGATTTGCCAGCATGGATATAAATGTTTAACAACCGTTGTAGATACAACTTTAGAAGCTGAAGAAAAGAAGATCGCTGAAGAAAAACGTAAAAAATTGGAAAAAATTGCTAAAGAAGAAGCTGAAAAAGAAGCAAAAATTGCTGAAGAAAAAGCTAAAAAGGAAAACAAACTTGCCAAAGAACAGGAATTAGCATTACCTGGAGAAAGAGATAGAATTTTACGTGGCCTCGAAACAATTGAACGATATATCAACTTGAAGGAATTTGTTTTGGAAAAGTGTAATGAAAGTGTTGAATCATTGGAACATCTTTCAAAATTATTTCCTCAATCTTTAATGCCCAAAATTAGTGACTTGACAACGAAATGTGAACGATGTGGAATGTTTTTTGCTCCAGCTTACAATACCGACAAAAGTTGTCAAATGGATCATCCAAATGATTGTCTGCAATTCATCGAAAAATATGAATATGAATGCATACGATGTCTCAACGCTTTTTATCAGGGAAGAAAACGCAAAGTTTTGTGTTTTGTAGGTACACACACAATTGATAAGGAACTTGTTGAAGACGAAGAATGGGATCAAATTGCCGACGGTTGTTAATAGACATTTGTTACATCGTTTGATAAATAAAATTTTATGATTATCTAAATATTCTAATAAAATACGTACCACTTTCAGTTGTATTGCATTTTTTTATGTTCACAACCTTTTTTGTTTACCTTTCCACAGAATTATTTATTTTGATGAAATACAATTATCTTATCCTCATGATCGAACTTGTAAAGTTACAATGAGCTATGCGTATAGTCAATCAATAAAAATATTAAATAGCAGATTAAAAAATTAAAATCTACTCAAGGTACTTTATTTCTGTACAGTAAGTGCAAAGATACCAGTAGTAGACATTTTGAAACCGTACAACTTTTGTCTACTTTTTACACGTCACTTAATTGAGCAATCACTGTAATGTTACAACGCGGACTGAATACTCAACTAAAACTTCTTCGTAACAAAATAAATTTAATGAAACTCGAATTCTAGAACTTTATGTAAAATTATTTTACATACACGACCTTTAACAAGTATGTAGACAAATTAAAGTTATTTTTCAAAGAACAATAGAAAATTAACTAAGACTTAAAAATTTTTAGGTTATTTTATGTAAAACATGTCAAACAGTAAGCGTATGAAGTATGAAGGTCCTTCCACCAGTCAAATGGGGAACGATACTAAGCTCGATAAGTCTCCGTATGTACCTGGATTAACCAAAGCAATAATCCTAGGAAAAAGAGGTTCCATGCATGAGTTTGATGGCACTCCACAAATTTTAACGATTATGGTGAAACCAACGTAATTGCAAACTGATTGCAATGTATTCAACCGGTTCTTATGGACACATTGCAACTGGTTTGCAATTTTTTTACATACGTAGCGGTTTTATCTCGAGAGTTCTACTGCTAGAATAGAAATTGCAAGCTGATTGCACATAATAAAATTATAGCAGTTTTTTTTATATTGGAATATAAATCAGATGCAATTATTGAAAGATATTTATTATATTTCTATCTTTCAATGATGCCATAATTTTTAAATGAATTATAAATTAATGTTGTTAAATTGTTGTTGT